TGACATCATGTTTGAAGGCAGCAGCCAACACGATTGCACTCTGGTTAGTACCCAGAGATTTAAGGAAACATCTTCACTTTTGGAATGGCTCAGCTCTGCCCACACCTCACCTGACCCCAGGGAAGAGCGTGCGCAGAACAGCGGGACGTGTCGGCCAGCACATCACAGCCAAACTCAACAGGTGGAGTTTTCATCTTTTAAATTACTCAGAGCCAAAAAAAAAAAAAAAAAAAAAGCAAAATGCCTGCTATTTGTGGAGGCTTGACTGTGTTCAGAGCATGGAAACCTCCAAAGCCAGTGAGAGAGAATAAAATGTACCCTTACTGAAAATAACCAAAAATTCAGTTTGCTGAGCTAATTTTAGCGCTTGTAACAACTGGGAACCTACTGGATTTTAGTAAGGAATCAAGATACCAAGTTAATTAAATTTTAAAAAAAGCCATTGAGTCACAAAATCTGTTTTTCAAAGCAGCCCTGTCTTAAGGTTGGTACAGGCACCTACAGAGAGATTTCTGAACATCTGCCTGGCAACTCTGAAGCACATAAGCACATCAGAGCATCTGAGGTTAGTCTGATAGGACCCATCTTACATTTCTAAGTATGAAAATACCCAGATTCTGAACTGCTATCAGTACCTCTGGAATGGATACAGAAATTGGGTATTCAGTCCAACCTAGTACCCTGGCCATTAGGGCCTGAAGAGTAAAGATTTCAGGGAAATGGAGATTATAGAAACCAGCATAAAAACAACACTCAGGCAGACATACCTAGATTTAGGACACTGGATGTCCTTCTCTGAACATTGAAAGAGCACAGACAGGTCCTTCTTTCTTTATTTTGGGCAGGCTGTGCCAAAAAGCTGCTCCTGGTGAGCAGGACTGTCACCAGGAGGGATCACAACGATCATGACAGATCTCATTAAATCAACTTGCGGGTCATGAACTACCAAATTTCCTGCTGGCTGGGGCCTCACCATTTGGCACTGATGGAGGAGAACAAAGATAGGGACATACTAGCTGATAATAGGATTACTCAACTGCATGTGAGCAGGTGAAGGCCATGCAGGCAAGAGTGCTGCAAAAGCAGGGAAATACTGAGGCCAGGTTTCAGAAAAAAGCACTCCAGAAGAGTGGTTTTCACTCTCCTCCTCATGCACGTGCCAGCAGGCTGACTTCAGCCTGGAACTGAGGTACAGAAAAGTGGTTAAGAGGAATGAAGATCCTGTCTTCCAAAGGGAAAACAAATAATTCTGGTTTGTTTAACAAGTCAAGAGTCTAAGGAGGGAAATGATTGCTTTTGTAGTGATGCAATAGGAAAATAAACAGGCTGCTGTTTAACGAAGAGCTGTTCAAACGAACCCTGGCAGAGGGTAGGTGGTGATTTTATGTCAGCTCTGAGGAGTTTACAGCAGTAAGAGCAGGCAGCTGCTGGAGGAAAGGGGAGAAAAAACACCAACCAAAGACTTCAGTTCTGAAGACTGAAAATTCAAGCAGAGGTGATACTGTCCACCTTCTCAGATGTGATAACCACCCTCATAGGTGAAATCAGGGAAGATTTTTATGGCAAAATATGCTGGGAAAGTTCACAGTAACAGCACTGCTGGACTGCCATGTAATTACCTCTAAGCTACATGTATTCACTCAGACTACTCAAAATAAGAGTATTTACAGCTAGCTGTAACCTCAACACATGTGAAATAACCATAGTCATCTGTGTCAAATTTAGACACCCATTTTTTCCAAATATATCTAATCTATTAGGTATTTCTTCAACAACTGTCCTTAAAATACAGCTGGTGTAAGTACATAATTGCTGCAGTTAATACTTTATTTTGAGAGTTGTGGCTCCATACAGAGGATAATTTCCAGCAAAGTCATAACAGAGGAAAGCACTCCTGGGAAATTTAACAACAAGCTCAAGGTTCTCAGAATAATAGTGAAATAACAATTAGAAAGGTATCATTAACATATGATACATGGCTGTGATTTTGTCCAAACTAATTAGTGCAGTTGTTCTCTCATTAGTCTATTAAAATGAACACTAAATCAAATATATTAATAGTGCACACATATTGTGTAATGTGTGATTTAAATTTTCTTAGATACAGCAATGAAACAAGTCTCTGTTATCATCTACTGTTATCACCTGAACTACTGAGAAGGTTGCATTGTCATCAGATCCTAGAGAGCAAGCTTAACTCAGAGATACCAGTGGGTTAAACAAATAAAAATACAAGAGATGGACCAATGTCTGCTTTTAACAGAGATAAACATCATGTCACATCTCGTTTTCCTGCTCTGGTGGAAACCTTCCTCTCAGGCACTGCAAGGGCACACACCATGTGTGTGCATTTGGGAGAAAAGCTGAGCAGCAAGCTGAGGTATAAAATGGGATGGGGAGTATTATTGCTGCTAGTGAGAGGGGTGTTTGCCACCTGTGTGCTTTCCATAAGGCATTCTGTATAAACAACCAACAGATATCATAAATCATTATCCAGAGAAAGTAAATACTGAAAAAAAAAAACCCCAAGCAAGACCTATGCTGCTTTATCCAGGGACTCATTTTTTAAACTACTTGTCCTGTACTAGGCTGTTGATCTTTGAGTCTCATCCAAGCAACTTGGCCACAGCAATACAGGCACAGAACAGCAAATAATCACAGATGTTTCATCAGCAAAAGATTCAAGCTAGTTCTGCTTAAACAAGTGCTTTGCACAGGAGGGCAGAAGTCAGGCAGTAGTGCTTTCAGCAATTTCCAAGATGTCAAAACTTTCCTTAGGTTCCAGGTTAAAGGGTGAAACCTTAATGAGATGATCTTCAAACATGAGGGGCCAGCTATGGATGAATGTGGCTGTAAGCAAATCCTGCTGTGGACTGACAGGTATTTCACAGATGACTTCCAGACACATGCAAACATCTTACCCAGCCCACAATGAATCACACACTGGGCTTTTCACACTAGTCCAGTCTCATGGAAGAGGTTTAAATGGGCAGGTGGAATGTCCAGCACCATCTGAGACCAGAGGCAGGGTCTGCAGACAAAGAGAGAACACAGACTTTCTGTTTGCAATGCTGTTTATTTTAGAAAAGCCCCTTTGATCATCTGAATGAAAAATGTGGGCAGAAAAGTCACAAATGTTATAAAACAAAGTTTATTCTGCAATATTTTGTCATAATGAATTGCATCTCTTTGGTAAAAATAAAATTTATAAACATTTTAATTAACAGAGATTAGCATACAAAAACTAAACTTTTGTAAATCGTCTTTAAAACGGGTAAAGGACTAAACCAGAGGAAAAAGGGTTAGAATTGGTCACCTACTGGCAAAATTATTCTAAACAAACCCAAGGACACTGCTTATGCTACATTAGAAACAAGCTAACGGGAATGGTTTTAAAACAACTCTGGTTCATTTGATCAGAAAGCATTCTTACAATTCACTTTTAAATAAATAATAGTTACAATGAATTGGCAATTATAAAATGTTTTATATCACTATATGGCAGTAACATAATACTTTTAATTATGCACTTTTTAGTTTGAAGAAATGTACATTTATAAAACTGACTTGATAATGGCACTGGCAGTTAGGTGTGAAGAATGTGCTTTAAGATAAAATAGCAGGTGCAACATTTAAAATATTTTACCTTTTCTTTTCAATAAATATTTTGACCACACCATTATTAACGTGTATGAGTATACTTTGCTTTAATTAAAGCTTGTACTTTTCAGGTTGTTGAAAAGTTGCAAACCACACAACTTCCATTTTGCAGCTGGATGTAAAAACAGTTGATGTGACTTCTGCAGATCAGTAATTTAGGATTGGAATCTGAAAAGCCAGTACAGGTCTGTACAGTAATCACATCAGATTTACCCTGAACAGAGCAACCTCCCATGAACACAGGTCTCATACACTTCTTCACTGCATTTAGAGAACTGAATGTGGTTCATTAATACTTTTCTTGCCAAAATGTATCCAAGTCAACCATTGGCATTAACATTTTACATATGTCACTAAAAAAACCCAAAGCCCAACAATCAAAATAACTTTTAATTATACTCCATTTATACTATATACACCAGGGTCTTTAACTGAGGTGGCAAACAAACCCGAACCCAACAGATAAGAGAAAGGAAGGGCAGCTCTTCTCCCACTGCCAAGAGAGGTGTTCCACAGCTGAGCTGCCAAACACGTGGGCAGAGCCTGGGACAAGGAGTGGGACAGGGCAGGGGCACAGCTCATCTGCCTTCCCCTTTGGAAGCAGAGAGGGAAGACAGCAAAGCAGGAAGGGCAGGAAGAGCACGGCCCCGCTGCACGGCTCTGTGTCCCAGGAAAGGCTGCTCCCCCCTTCCACCATTCCAGTTCTCCCAGCTGTAAGGATGGATGGGATGCAGCTTCTGCTGCTAACTGCTGATCAGGAACTGGTTCTCACTGGTCACTGCATGTGGTGATTAAATCTAGCATCCCAATCCCTCAGATATGCTGAAGTCATCGTCACCAACTTCAGGGTTAACAGCAGCACAGCCACACTCCCAATAAGTACTAACACCCTCCAAGTTTATCGGAGGCAAAACGAAATCAAACCATGGAGCTGACTGTGAACACAGCTTCCAGAATACCTTCACTGGAAGCCACAGAAAGCTGCAACCACTTCAGCAGGAGCCAGGCAGCAGCACCCCTCTGCAAGAGTGTGACACTGAAATCATGGCACTGAGCAAACCTCAGGCTGCCCACAGTATTTCTGTGTATCTGAACCCTCCCTTTCACACTGACACAAGCTCTGCCCTTCACAGTTTTCCATGAGAGTTCAAAAGCAACCCATGAGCAAGAAGAAGCAGTTCCACCAAGCATTCACATCAGCTCCTGAAATCCTAAGAACCACTGCTGTTGGTACTTAATTTTCCTTTAAATAGCAAGTTTTACCCCTACTACCCATCAGTACTACATCCAATACCAGATCTAATTGGCTAATGCAGCACTTGTGATAGCCAGAACACACACATTGCCCTGTTACAGGTGTAGGCTAACAGGAATGATGCAGAGTATTTTCCTTCCCTTTCAAGAAATAAAACAAATCATTCTTATAACTGAATTGGAAAAAGAAAAAAAAAACCAAACCAAACCAAAAAAAAACCCGCAAAAACCTTTTTTTTCTCTCCTAGTGTTTGTGCTTTAAATTCCAAAACACCAAGAACCTCAAAAATTTCAGGCTTGATCCAACAGCCATTGAGTCAGCAGGAGCACCACCGTTGTCTTCAAGAGGCACTGGAATGGGCCCTCAGAGCAACAGACCTTCAGCAGCATGGCTGTGTTTGCATTGGAAGTAGACAGCTCAGGAATTGTGAAGAGACTGACAAATAAGGGAAAAAAAAAAAGAAAAAAGGGGCAAAAAACCCACACTAGTCTAAGAAAGGCATTCAAATAGCCAGGAAAATACTCCCTTAGGGAAAGGTTAACTTTTGGCTGAATCCAGCACTGTTTCTAACAGTGGACATTGGCTTCCTAAGTGGCTCTGCTCCTAATTTTCACCCAGCTTGCCCAACACCTGGTGGAAGCAGTAGCTTCACGTTGGTAGAACGTTTATGGCACATCATGCTACCTTTCAGCAACAGGAAAGATGACCTTGGATAGCTGTATACAATTCTGCAACATACTTAAGGCATCCTTGTATGTACAGTACTGTTAAAACCCACTCCAACAGAACTGCTTACCCATTTTTGAACAGAAAATTTTAAAAAAAGGCATAATCTACAGGAAGATGTAAGTAATCACCACTGATTTTAAAAGAAAAATAGGGATAAGGTTCAACATACCACAAAAAAAAAACATTTTTTGGCTGAAGGATGTCTAGGAACTATAAAGAGATTCTCTTATTGCAAAATGAATTTGAATCCTTTACATGGAAGTCAGAGCCCTTAGACAGAACAAAATTCACCTCTGCAGATGGGGCCAGCAGAGATGTAAATATGATCCACAGTGTGCATCTGAACAAACACATCTCTGAAAAAAAATAAAGTCAACTATTGAAAAGAAAAAAAAAAAAAGAATTGATCATTAAGAAGTATGCTTTTGGGTTTTCACAAGTCATGCATATCTTCTAATCTGAGAAGATTAAATATTTTCTTTTTAGGTGGTGATTTAAAAATAAATGGCTAAATTATAGTTTGCGCCAAAAATTAAAAAAAAAAAAAAAAGCAGTGAGTCCTCTTATGGCTTTGATCTCCCTTGTGAAGGGCAAAAGTAGAAGAGTATTGCCACAATTAAAAAAAATATATGTATATATTCAACACTGACAAACGCACTATTTTTTCCTCTGCTTGTGACAGTGGGTCTTTGCAGTACTTATTAAGGAACTCAAGCACGTTTGGATGCCAGCGAGGTGGAGCAGAGACCCCGCCGCCTCCTTCAGCTCCTCGTCGATCTCCTGGCACAGCTCCTCGAGTACTTTCTGGCTGGGCTGGCTCTCCTTGGAGCCATCTCCACACGGCTGGGCCGCGTAGCCGCTGTCCCCCAGGGGATCGTCCTCGTAGTCGCCGTCCGTGTCCACCTCGCTGTGGAAGCCCTCGCTGCCGTCGCTGCCCTCGTGGCTGGCCTTGGAGATGAACTCGTACACCTCGTCCAGGGAGGACAGGGAGGACACGCTGGAGCGGGAGGCGCAGCGCTGGGAGCCCACGGAGCCCACGGAGCTGGCGCTGTAGTTGTGGTCCTCGCTCGGGTCGATGTTGGCGGCCGCGGAGTCGCCCTCGGGCAGGCTGATGGAGCTGGGGGCGTCGAAGGCGCTGCCGTAGCTCCTCTTCTTGGGTGTCTTCAGAGGCTGAGGTTTCTCACCTGTGAGGAATGAGATGTGTCAGTGGGCCAGCGAGATCACCTGTGCCGGGCTGGCTGCAAGGGAAACTGAATTCCAGCACTTAAAGTCACAACGTGCCCGTTTACTGTCACCCACAGAGGACGACTGTCACCACCTAATCTCAGCTGAGAGCTAGAGAAGCAGAGGGGGAAATGATGCCTCTGATCTTAGCTTTTATATTTTTCAGATTCTGTGCTGCTTTGGTATGTAGTTCTGAGCCTCATCTTGGGGGATAGTAACCTCTCTTCACAAAGTATTTAGACAAAATAATTCCTTCTCTAGCTGGGGACCAAGGACAAATGATCCAAATCTCAGGCCCAAGAGCGTAAACAATGGTGGACTGAAGAGAGAAAAACAAGAAGGATGGGACTTCATAACCTAAAGCTCTAATTGGACAATTAACTCCAATATGCTAATGGACCAAACCTTATAAAAGTGAGAGATCCTGTGACCAGTCAGGCATTTTGTGACCATTTTGAGTTCATCTTGGGTGTAGCCCTGGCTGGACTCTTAAGGTGTATCTACTGAGGCCTTCTAATAAATACCTACTTTATTCTTTAACTCCATCAACTCTCTGTTCTATCTATATCTACCTATACACCTCTATCTATATCTATCCATACACCTCTATCTTGAGGTGCATCTACTGAGGCCTTCTCATAAACTCCTACTTTATTCTTTGACTCCATCTAGCCTCTGTTCTAGGTCAGCCTTCACAAGGCATCAAAGCAGCCAAGAAACTCTTCTTACTATCTAGCACAGAGAGGGCAGGGATAGAACTTGCAGAAAAAAATCTAAATTAATAGGGAAAAGAAAAAAAAGGCTGCTTCTAATAAAACTCTTGCGATGCTAGCTGAAAGAATAATTAAACCAGAATTGTTTCTTGACAAGTCTTACTGTTTGGAAACTAGACCATACTTGTTTCCTGAAATTTTATAGAGAAAGTATTTAGTTAGTGAGTAGAGAAGAAAAACAAGAGTAAAATGCTTACAGTCCAGCATCCCTTGCTGAATGGAAGTATTTAACAGCATCATTGCAGTAGCAGCATCAATATCAGATTCTGTGAAGCACAAGCAGCAAAATGTTAGAACTCAGGTAAGCCTGAACAAGATGAAGCCTCTAAAATAGACAAAAAATACAAATATATATACATTTGCCTGTACTGGCCTACACCAAAGAGCAAGGGTGGGGGGAATGTACAAACTCAGACAAAGCATGACCCTTGTACAGCTCAATCCTGTTCCAGATCAGCCTCATACCTTAACTATGACATTCAAAGGCCGAGCTCTCACGTTGCACTCACCGAAGCCAAGAATCAGTGACACAATTAGACTTTCATGTGACAATGCTGTTGCTATACTTAACAAGTGTCTTTTGTTTGTACCAGTTGGGAGAGAAAGATTAGACCCATGGCACAGCAAAGCACCTCAGCAGCTCCACAGCCTGGCTGTGTGCATGTGCAGGGCCCATTAATGCAGCACTAATTCAGCACACCTCCCTCCTCCAGCAGAATTTTCCACACTAATAAGTCAAACGGAAGAAATTGAGACCACAAGGGGGAAAAGGGCAGTGAACTGCTCAATCTAGAGAGCAGGGAGATCTAAATAATAAATAGGCACACAGGAAAGGATAAGGTGAATTGTGGCACTGTCAGCTGCAGTGAGAAGCACTGCTGCAAATGCCATCCTTTGCAGAGTGGATTGCTTACATTTCTGAAAGGCACCTTGAGGGTAACAGGGCAGAGAGTGACATTTCTAACCAGAACAAGGTGAAAGGGAAAAGAAACAAGCACGCCTTTCCCACTCATTTCAGGACACACTCGTGCCCTTTAAAGAAGAGGAAATCCAACCCATTCTCTGGCTCACTTCTGCAATGGAGGATGGATATTCCTTACACAGAACAGAAACAGCTATGGGGGACTAGCCAGGCAAAGAGGAGCACAGAGACAGGGAGCTCTCACAAGAGCTGGGTGTCTGAGAGCAGAAGATCTCATCTGAGGTGTAGGTAGCTGTGTACATATGCATGAGCAGTGAGTGGAGAACAGGGCTGGAGGGGAGCAGCAGCAGCAGAACAGGCTCTCAGTGCTGCTGAACTGCAGCTGTGGGGGGAACTGCTAAAGCACAACATCAGCAGTGCCATTTCTGACAGCATTTGCTTTCTTCCCCATATTACAGCATTAACTGTATTACTGATTTTAAGGGGAGGGTAGTATGGGAGGGGGACTGCAGAGTTTGTCAGTGTGGCTTCCTTATCTTGATAATCCTCCCTAACTTCACCTGTGGTCAAGGAGAAATCTGAAGAACATGACACCTTGGGAATGTTGTACCAAGATGACAAGGGGACTGAGCTACTGTTCCCAATACAGGTTATAAAACATACACATTTCCCCCCTTGTTTTCCATGCCTTTCATTTTAAATCCAGCATACTTTAGGCTCTACCCCATTGTACTCATATGATTTTGTTTTCCTTCCAAAGAAAGCTTTGGCTTTCTTTGGCAGAAACAGAGCCCCTGAACTCATAGGTTATATGCACTCAATTAACAAAAAGAAATAGAAAAATAAAACATGAAGAATTGCTTCGCTCCACTAGTGTAATCAGGAAGTGAAATATTCCCATTCCTCACTTGCTATGCCAGATATTTTATTCTATCATCTATGCTGGTATATAAGCACCACCTTATTAAAATGACAAGTAATCAGAGGCATTAATGCAATGCAGGATTACTACCTACAAAGAGCATTTCTGCACCTTAACACTCCCAAAGAATGAGGAGAGGCACTTCTGCAGTGGCTTCTTAGCAGTGCTCTGTGTCACTGACAATGTGCTTTGGCTTCATTTGTGATTGCTCTTCTCAACAGTGCAGTATTTCCCAAATTTACACTTCTCCAGCAGAATGGCTGAGGATGCACCTTATTGCAAGGAATTCTGTTCATCTGCACAAGAGCTGCTCTGTGGGATCCCAGGAACATGAATGGCTTGCCTCTAATGCCAAAAAAAATGCTGAACAGGCTCCCCCACAAGCAGAAACCAAATGATACCAGATCCCTGTCATTATTTTGGCACCTCTGGTGTAGCTAAATGGATGAGGCAACATCAGACTGGCAACCTCCAAACCTGTCACAGGACACATCAGCAAAATCCTTAGGAGGAGAGGGATTTCCTGTGTTCTCCAGCAAGCCCTGGGAACCCCAGATCCAGCACCCTGCAGTAGCCAGCCAAGGGATGTTTCCTTGGCACCCAGGTGCCACCTCTGGGGTGCATGGCCATCATCACCTGTGGGCCAGGTGCTTGGTCTCCAAAAAGCTTTGGCTTTGCTGCCTAATCAAGCTCCTTGTTTGTGGCCAAAACCTAAAAGCAACCTTCTCACCTCTAAGCCTACTGAGCCAGCACATCAGGGAGCTGGGTGTGTGCTCAGGTTCCACCTGGGCAGTGCCTTTCACTATCCTGCTGAAAGGGCTGTAACAACACCCCTCTGCAACACTGTTTGACTCAACCCTTTAAAAAATGAGTACTGTGAAATTTTCAGCACTTTAAAACCCAAAATTATTATTATTATTTTTGTCTAGGACAAGCCTAATTAAGCTTTATTAGTGAGGTGCAAGAGCTGTGCTCAACTGGCTTCTTCAAAAGAAATGCTGCAAGCCCCAGCACACTTTCTAGCTCCCTCTTGGTACCAACAAGTTTTATACACTAACATTTGCTACCTTTGGTTCTCAGTTCTTGGCCAATAAAACTGATAAAGAAATGTGCAGCTTTCAGATTAGTTTTCTGCTGAACTATTCATTAAGTAGGTCATACTTGGGAGTGATGCATGTGCTGAATATTTTGCTGTCAGAACAAGACGGCCCCAATTACACCTTGAACTTCACCTCGTGGATTTAAAATTAACACAGGAGTAGCTAATATAACACACACATTGTACTACATCTGGGTTCTTTTGTCATCCAGCAAACCCTTCAGAGCAGGGACAGAGACAGCATCAGCTGGGGTGCAGTCCATGACTATGACCAAAACCAGGGGAGGAGAGTGAAAGGAAATTCCAAGTTTACCTTTGAGAGCTCGGCCGTGGTTCTGCTGAAGGACTGAAGTCAGGTAGTGAGGGGATGACGACCGACTGAAAAAGAAATTCAACAGCTCAAAGGCAAGCCCTGACCAGGCAAATGATTTGTGCAAAGTACAGCAGACACAATATGATGATCACAGAAGGCTAACAACAAAACCAACCCTATTCACCACAGGAAGGCAAGTGATTTCTGCTGCCCTCAGTAGATGGCTCAGCACTGGTTCATAGTTTGTGTGGCACTATTTAAGCCATCCCCAGCACGTGGAAAACACCTCCAAATACACACACTAAGCAAAAACACTGTTGGGCAACAGTCACTGACTTCTACAGATTTTCTATACCTGCCTAAAGGCTGGATTTTAAACAAAGATATGTATTTTTTAGTACATAAAACCTACATATGTACAAAACATTAGCTCATACAGGGATGAGCTAATGTTTTGTACATATGTAGGTTTTATGTACTAAAAAGGACAGGTAAGGACCAGTTGTGATCATTTGCTTTTCCAAGCAGTGATGGGCAATTAACAAAAACAAAAAGTAATACTGAATTAAAAACCAAATCAAGACAACTGCTGATTTTAAAGTTGATGCTATCCAGGGTAGTTTTTCATAATCAGACTAGCTTTGCCCCAAGGTACCCTTAAATCCCTCACAAAATAAAGGGCAAGTTAAAGCTTTCACATGTTTTTTTCTGCTACACACCCAGCCCTAATTATTCAGTTTATTATAAATATATAAGTGAGCACTTACAAGTAACTACAACAAAAATAGTACACACTATTAAAATTGCATGAAGTGTAGCAATGTGCATCTTTTATAGTGCTGCTAGAACAATCTGAAGGGTGATGACAGAATTTTCAAACCCAATGTGCAAGAGAAACTTCAGCTGAATGGGAAAAATGTGCAAAAATACGGTTCACTGTCTGGTATCTCTTCTTGTAACAGACACAGAGTGCAAAGGGAACAGATCCAAAAATGGGTGGGGGGAAAAAAAATTAAAAATAAAGGAAAGCAATGGTCTGACCCCAAATGGCTGGCTTTGCAGCCCTCAGACCCATTGCACAGAGAGATGCTAAACATCATCATCATCCTTTTGTCTAAGCTCAGACCCTTCAAAAATCATGTCCACACAGAGCTCCCCCAAAGTAAATTAATGCCTGGTATTGATTAAGACAAGCCATGCATAAGGTATGAGCAAGAGGAGGACTGTGGCTGTCCCCAGGGCTGTCACTCGTGTGGCACTAGAACCAGAATGCAGCCAGGGGCTTCACAAGGACTTGTTGAACAAGCTGTGCAGAAATAAAATGCATCAGGCATGCCAATCATCTATGATAATACAAATTTCAGTGTCACTAGACACAGATTACAGTTTTGGAAAGCTTCTGCTCAAAGCAACAGCCTAAATTTTATTTTAAAATTGTGCTGAATGATAGGCAGACTCCCCACAAACACACTGTAAAATGATTTCCAGTCTTCCCACTGGAAAATTCAGAGACTGCCACAGCTGAATTTTAGGATCACTCTGAAGATAAATTTGGACAGTATTTCAGCCTCTCTCCAGCTGAACCTCTGGGCTTCCTCCCTCTCTACAACAAATCAGATCCTTGGGGGCCCTTCCCCAAAATTAGGCCAAAATTTAAATCAAATCTAAACACAGAACGGGAAAAAAATAAATCTGTTTTTCTGGGTGTGATGGAAAGTCACATAAATGTTTTTTATTATTGAAGGAAAATAAACCAGCTTTCATTAGGGAACAGTTTGCTATCTTAATATGTTGTTTCTTATTTTCTTGTACTCATAAATACAAGCACTGCAAAACTCTTCTCGTGTTGAAGTCAGTGGGAATTTTGCCATGTGGCTTCATTAGATGCAGGATTTCCTTGTAATTGTTGGCAAGTGAGACTAGTCCTTCAGTAAAGGGAAAAAAAAACTTACCAAAAACAACAGCTTCAAATTGAAGTCCTGCTCTTCCAAGTACTTAAGCATGCAGATGAAATGTCTCCTTCCTCACACCTAATTTTGGTATGTTGCATTTATCCAAGCTAAGTAAACCACACTTAACACAACTTGAGCTGCACGGATCTTGGAGACCCTGGAGATTTTAAAAGCTTAACTGGTCAAGGCTCTGAACACCCTGCCCTAGGCTGAGTCTGTCAGTCCTCTGCACCTCTGGCAGGACAGACAACTTCCCATCTGTATTATTGTCTACATTTTAAAGTCTGGCTGTGCTAACACAGACAGAGCATTAAAGCTTTCAGGGACCAAACCTCCACTTGAGTTGTACCCAAAACCAGAGGTCCATACCCTTACACAGAGACATTACAGCCTGTGAAAGCATTATCCTCCAGAGCCCAATTACAGACATTTCAATAACCTTTATTCCCATAAACCCCAAGCAGTACCGCCAGTCATCTCATTGCTTCTAATCTATTTCTTAATATTTCAATGTTTCAGGGTTATTTTAATAGTGCTCCCAATTCCAAGAGAAAGATGGAAAACAGGACACTTCTACCAGGCTTGTTCCAGCCCAGGATGGCCCAGAGACAACTGGTTCTATCTTGTGGGCTGCAAACCCCACTGGACAAGCCCACACAAAACTCCTGAGCCCCTAAGGCTTGCACAGGGGTGCCATGCCCAGGGTCAGTGTCCTTTTGGACCCTGAGAAATGTCTGCTCAGTGCTATCAGTCTCACACCCTGCTCCAGGAATCCCAGCTCCTCCTGCTTGTTCAGGAAACTCCTTGCAGTAAGGTTAAGGCATAGGGCAATGTACAAACACCTTAATGACCTCTTATCTCACCCAAATTCTTTCCTGGACTTGACAAACCAGCCACATGCCTTGCTCAGAACCCAGCTCACCCAACGTGCTGCGCTGCGTTCCGTCCTCCTGCCTCCACAGCTGCTGCTCCTCTCCCTCTGCTCAGGAACTCTGAGTCAAACTCTACATGAGTTTGACTCCAAACTCCCCAAAATCTAGTGCCCAATCTTAAACTGTGTTGGTAAGGAAGTCCTGGTTTCAGAAGTCTTGCATGCCCCACCCCAAACTACACGTATGGCAAAAGCTCTTTTCCATCCCTGCTGCAAAATGCTTTTAAACAGCCTCAGAGAAAAACAACCCTCTCAGGGCAGCATCTCAGCCCTTCAGACTGTGGAAAAGTTGAATGTTTTCCACAAAAGCACAGAATAGATACATTTTATAACCATACAAGTGACTTACAGGAAAAGACACCCACCTCCTCCACAACAGGAGTCCTGATGGACTGTGCTTGAAAGAGGATTTTGCTCCAGTTCCCAGGACTGCCTGCTCTCTTTGCAGAAATTGAAATTTCATTTGCAGAAATTTCAAATGCAGAAATTCTCCAGAAAGCACCCAGCACATCCCTGACCACCTTCTTTTAAACTCTCCCACAGTTAATAAGAGCCTTGAACACACCCCAGATGTGCTGTCTGGGAATCCTGAGCTCACTGCACCTCCCCACCTCACCCAGCTGGTCCCACCTAAGCCCACTCAAACTCTGCTCTCAGGTGGCAGCAGGTAACAGCACTTCAACACCCTGTGCCACCTGCATGGAGCAGCGTGTCCTGCTGGGATAGGAACTCCACCTACCTGGGTGGTGATGCTGGTGGAGTATAAAATGCAAGTGCTGAGGAAAAAGGCTGTTTTTTCAGTGCTTGGACAAGGTTAGGTTTGTATTTTGGGTCAACGCACCACAAGGACCCTTTTCCATTCACCTGCAATGAAGAAACACAGCAAATTAGAAAATCCAGGACCAGGCTGGTACAGTCCTTTCTGATTTAATATCCCCAAGCTGCAGCACAGTGCAATGATTGTATGTAGGCACACACCACTGCACAGCTGACACACAAAATCCACAGGCAGGTCCATCCTGGATAGTCCCAAAATTGAGAAAATGGCCCAGAGACCCTCATTACACACTATGGAAACACCCACCTTCATGTAGGTCATGATAGCATCTCCAAAACCTCTTCTCTGAAGTCCCATTCCCATTTGTCCCCTAAATGCTGTAAACTTTATTTTAACACTTAATAAACACAGCTATGAGTTTAGGGACCTGTCCAGGCATCAGTAAACTGATCAGCAATCTTTTCTTTAACATGTTTCTAGGTAAGAAACCAAAGCACCTTCCCCTTGGTTTAGATATAGATCCATACTCATTTAACTTTACACCACCCTGGAAAAGGATCTTGTTCAATGTGCAGCTACAAAATGGATTATTCCCATCTTCTCAGAATCTGAACACCTAATGAAAGTATTTTTGATGCACAATGTAAGCACCCCTGTGCTAGTCATTCTTGATATTAAATGTGGTATATTGAAACTTAAGGAAGATAAAGCACCTCTTGCTTGTCTTAATCAAAGCTTTCTTCACAAATGTACTAAATAAAGGACCTATTTTTTTGAGCCTGCTACTTCTTGCAACTTAATTAAATAGTTGTATTCTATAATAGAAATTCTATAATCACTGACCTGACAGATCAGCTAAAAGCTCTGCACGTAGCAGCACCAGTTTTTTTTGGGAAAACAGATGCTACAGAAATGGAAATGTACACGGCTGAAGGATGGGGCAGCTGTACACCTGAACAGTAAGATCCTTCTAAAGGATTTCTGGGGGCTGAATATCAGAGCAGAAACCCAAACTTCATGGAGAAGCTCCTGTGAGCCCACCGTGGCCAGCTGGCCTCCTCCTGCCAGAATCATGGGGGGCAATAATTCCAATTTATGGATATATCTCCATGATTTACTCCAGACTAAAAAAGACTTACAAAACATTTAAATCTGTGGTTCTATTTAAGTTATAGGGGTTTTCTGAGAGGAGGAAATACCTTGCTATCAAGAGAGAAAAATCAAGCCAGGGAGAGTCCCAGCTAAGAAAGAGATGCAGCTGCAATTGCAGCTAAAGCCACTGCCTTTAACAAAGATCTCTGAGCTGCTGCATCTCTCCAAGTTATTTTTTTTAACCTGAATCTTCCTTATACTTACCTTTTCATGCTAAAAGTGAGCACAGCCTGTAAGATACTTATCAATGAGCTTACTTTTAATTAATAAACAGCCATGGTGGCTGGCAGGATGATTTAACCACCCAGATACTAACAGTAGGCATCCTCCCAGCTGGCTGTATGCGTCATCTCAGTGACAGACTTACACCCTGATCCTTTATTTCTCCCAGACCCCTTTCCCCAGTGCCCCAACCATGCCCAGCTGCCTTTTCCCCCCCCCCCCCTCCCAGTTTGGAGGTTGTTGCCCCCAGGGAGCAGCAGAAAGTCCCCTGAGCAGCAAACCACTTCTCCACACTGTTTATCTGCTACCTTATCTGCTACTTTAGGTGAGCACTTTTGCTTCATGCCTCATGCAGCTCAGCTGCTGGGGGTTAGTTTCCCTCTTTGATCTTCCCAGCAAGATACTCCTCCAGTTTGCTGCCCTGACAACATAACAGGAGGATTTTGGGTGGGTGTTGCAACAGCAAGCTGAACCTGGGCACACCCTGAAGCCATCCAGATACTGACAGATCCAATGCAACAGGCAGTAAACAGGGTGACTCCTTCTTTGGGTCATGTGTAATGTGAAACCACACTTCCACCCACCTTGGGAGATGCTAAAAGTAGACACTGAGCTGAAGAGATGATGGAGCTGCTCCTGTGCTTTGCTTGCACCCTCTGCTTAGCAAAGACAGGGGCAGAAAAGTCCAGCCCAGGTCTGAAATCAAGTGTCACATGCCAGGGGACAGCCTGCCACAGCTGGAGCTGGAAATGCCACAGAATCAACGTCCAGCTTTTAAACAAGACTGTGCCATTTCTCCCAGCAATTCAGGACACTCTAAAATGCTAAACTGCCTTTGGAGGTTAGTATTTCACTTCAACACTGAGGCAAGTGTTGGAATGAAATGTAGGTGTAACTTGTACTTAAGATCTAGAGAAAAATCCCTCCAGAGTCAGTGAAAAGAGGCCACCAGGCTCTTCTTACTCTGCAACTCAAAACAGGGGCAATCACAGAGTTCTGAGATTAGTTTCTGGTCTATCACCTCTTCTGCATCTTTCTAATGTTTCTAATTTGACTTGCAGGATTTTATCTAGGCAAAAATAAAGGAAAGAAAAGAATTCCTGCATATTGAAGTATTGGAGCTATTTTGTAAAGATAGTAAGTTTCCAGCTCCCAGTATTTCAGGGCTGGATTACAGAAATGTGGGCTGGAGACAAAATGCCTCCCATGATCCAGCCTTATCCTTTACCACCACCCCACCAGTGTGAGGAGCAACCAAAGCAGAGCTCAGCTGGTGCTGGTGGCTCGGGCTCCCTGCAGCAGGCACATGTCCCTGTGCTGCAGAGAGCTCTCCATCAGCTTCACACCTGGGAGCAGTCCTGGCTCCACCAGGGATGGACAGGGGTCACCAGCTGCATCCACCTGAGCAAGGTGAATGGCAGAAAAATACTGTGTGCAAGGAGGCATAAAATACACCCACCAAAAGGTTAACCACAGAAAAGGCATCTCTCTCCTATCTCCCCAGGCTTATGGATGCTACCTGCCCTGCTCTTTGCCCAATTACTTGAAAAGCTACAGGTTGTTTATCACCATCTCTTGACAAAAAAAATAACCTACCACAAACACCCAAACCAGATATTTACCAAGAAAAGGATGTTTGCTGAAGATATTCAAGCCCTGTAACCCCCAGCTTCTAGAGAAAGCAGCGGCAGGGCCACATCCATGCAAGCAGGAGCCTGCCAAGTTAATGTTTGATGTGGATGCTGATCCTGCCTCCTCCCACCTTTTCTCCTCAGCATCAATTAATTAATAACTCCCAATGCCATAATCATAAAAACAAATCTAAACAAAGAGCAGGGGGACTCTCCATGGCTTTCAGCCCCAAACCCTTTTTCACTTGAGGTCCTCCTGTGCTGTAGATCAGATGCTGTTCCCTCAGAAAAAGCTACGTCACAGCGTAGGCGCCTCTCCCCAAGCCCAAGGCAGCACCACAGCGCTTAAGATGCAAGGAGCTTCAGCTGTGTCTGCTGAGCATCACTGACTCACAGTCACACCTCCACACCTTCAGGGGCACCAGGGCCACAGCAGCAACACTGCAAGGCAAGCAGGTGTCCCTGGGACTGCTCCAGCATCTCCCCCTTGATGTTCACCACCACCATAACCAGGTGGGAATCACACCTGCCTGGCTGAATGCACACATCTTCTCTGCTGCAGCTCTAAAAGAAAAGGTGTTTCAGCTCATGGGGTAAACCCTGACACACCACTTGGGTACAGCAGCAGTGTGCTATGTGCACACAGAGCAGGCAATGGTATTTTGGCAAGGTGAGGATGCCCATCCATCCTGATCCCAGGGCACAAGTTCCTCCTGTTGACTGCAATGCTGGCTCATGAGGCATCTCAAGGCACTTTCCCTTCAGCACCACTCATTAAAAGAAAACCACAATATGTCATTTTTTCCAGTGGTCCAAGCAAGGACAGTGTTCCCCCAGTCTCTGTTGGATGCTGCCCTAGACCCCTGAAGCCCTGCAGCCTGCAGGTATCCAGCTGGCTGATGCAAATACACACACAGAACAATCACAACCACAGCTGAATAAGGGAGCCCTGCAGAATATACAGCCCTGCAGAATAAGGGAGTTGGTGCTGAGGGGTCACCTCTTTGTGCCTTGGGTGTTCTGCTCAGATCTGCTCTAGCAGGGCCTTGTGGACAATGCCCAGAGCCATCAGGGCACAGCAAGCATGCTCCTGCAGCAACTCTTCCAGCTCTGCACCAGGCAAAATGAGTCCAGGGCAAGATCCTGAAACCGCCCTGCAGTGGCAGCTATGGGGGGGAAGTGGGGAAAAAATCAGCTTTCCTTTAACATGCTGGTATTTTGTTTTGGATTGGAAGTGCATTATGGCAAAGATGAGGATGGACTCTTCCTCCTTTTGCTGCCTGACCTCAAAGAGGTGATTTCACAGCTGACAGCTGCAGCAATAGCCAGGGAGTGCCAGAGTAGAGCCTGCCCTGGGATGCAGGGGCACAGAGCATCCATCCCCTACTGTCAGACATCTTGGACTCTTCCAACACAAGAGCTCAGGTTCATTTGAAAGGCTGTAAAACCCTTCATACCCTGATGTTAGCAAATAAACCAGGCTCCTCTGATACCACATGCCATGGACCTTTCTGCTTCCACAGGCACTTGGCATAGAAGGAAGCTGATTGCCTGCTCCTTTGAAGTACAAAATGCCATCAACAAAGAAAAAAATGGAAAAAAAATACAAAATTATCTTGCCCTTTCAGGGAAGCACCCAGAGGCATGGATAGAACATGGGTACATGCAATAGGATCAGCAAAATGAGCTTGTGAGCAGCTGCTGCTTGCTCCAAGAAGTGACACCTGAGCAGCTCATCCAAAGGGGTCTGTAGCATTTCCATCACCTGCCAGATCAACTCCCACAGGGTCCAGGCATGCTGCTGTGTGCCACAGAGTTATTTTGCAGGAAGAATTTGGAGCAGTACCCTCATCTGGTCCTTTTCTAGGGGGGCAGAGGGTAAAGACTGAACTGCTGTTTGTTGGAAATGAGGAAGCTTCAGCAAAGTTTCTGGAGGGGCTTTTTTGGGGTGGTGTTTTTTGGTAAGCACAGTTTCTGTTCTTTAGAATTACAGAGCAGTGCAGTTTATGGAGCCCTGGCAAACCACTGACAGAGCACATCAGCATCACCTTGCTGGTAGCAGTGGGAGACATTGTGCATTTTGCTCTTCCTACTAGAGATGTCACATTGAGCAGCAAGCCATCCTCTGAGCCCAGCAGTACCCATGGAGATGCCAGGGTAAGCAGGGGACCAGGCAGTGTCAAGCTCCTGCCACCCAAATGCCAAGACAACAAGTCTGACTGGTAACTCCTAACCCACGAGTCTGGAAAACATCAGAGCATTTAAGGGCAGATCCACAGACAGAAGGAACTCATACCAGTTAAGATTTCCTTTTCCTGCCCTAATTTTTCTGAAGCTCGTGTCACACTCCTTGGACAGAGCCTTTAACAGCACTTCTGTCACCTAAAGCAGTTGTGCAGTCCCTGCTCAGGTCCAGTACTCCACACAGGGACAGCTTGAGCATCTCAGTTACCCCATCACAGCACCTTGGGCCACGTTAAGAGCCCATCCTAACACTCAGCAGGATTCAGCACTGGGTAGTCAATGGACTTGCCACATGGCAATAAAAAGTCAATTTTTTTTCAGGGCAACAACACGGCCTGTTGCTGCTTGTGACAACAACACCCTAACAATTTAATGCAGAAGCAGGAATATTGAGCAGCAGTGGTGTACAAGGCAGTCCTCCCCAATGCCCACTCAGCTCCAGGACCCCTCTCTACAGTGAGAAGCTGTCAAGCACTCCAAGCATTGCAGGCATTTCTGATAACAAGCCTGCTACCACCGAGTCTGACCTCCAAGCACAGGACTTGTTTGTTGACTTTCAGTATGTGGTTTGTTAGTTTATTTAAGTCACAGCCAGCTCTTTGAGGAACAAGATGGGGAATGAGGGAGGGAGAAAGACAGCCACTAGTAAAATCATATAAATCAGAAGAAAGATCTTGTACAGAAAAGAGTATCCTTGACTTTAAGAAGACTGTGTGCACCACACAGAGACACACATCTTATCTTATGACAGGTGTTAAAGCATTACAGTCCATTAAATGCAGGAATTAATATGGTTATTGGAAAGCTAGAGCTGTGCTAAGTGTAACAGAAGATCACAAGTGGAAGAGTCAATTTAATATCTGAGAAAGCTGTTGGACTGAGGAACACCCAACCACACACATCCAGTGTGCCCACAAGCCAGGGCACCTTGCAGGGGACCACATCTGCACCCAGAGGGGCAACATCCCTGCTAGCCAAGCAGGGAAGCTGGTTGGCATCCCATAATCTCCTCTGCTTGCCAGTGCAACTGCAGCCATGGCCATGCTGGAAAAGCAGGGAAGGAGGAACACACCCCAGAATTTCAGCACTGGAAAATAGAGGAAAAAATAGAGAAAGCACTACTTTAAGATTTCTTCACCAAGAAGAAATCCTCAGAGAGTTATCTGAAATTTCAGGCTGGTTATTGCAGGCTAATAAAATTTTAAGGAAATGGAAACAAGAGTCCTTTGCAATTGTATGTGTGCCACATTTCAAAAGGATGCACCACAGCTGGGTGTACCTAGCTGAACAATAAATAACAAAACCCAGTGGCTTTTGTCATCCTGTGATTCCACAGAAGCAGCATTTCCAAACCACCTCCATCTGCAAATAAAGCGTTAAGAGGACACGGTGGGGCGAAAACAACCCAAACAAAACTGTGCTCAAGAACAACAGAACCTTATCCATTTCCAGCCTGCTCCCCCTCCCTCCTGCCAGGCCTCACCTTGCCATGGCTTTTCTCCACCTTTCGGAAACACTTGTTCAAGGAGAGGTTGTGTCGGACCGAGTTCTTCCAGCCGGTGGGGGCCGTGGCGAAGTAGGGGAAGCGCTCCAGGATCCAGCTGTAGATTTCCTTGACTGGCAAGCTCTTGTTGGGGGACTGCTCAATCGCCATGTAAATGAGAAGGCTGAAAGAGTAAGGGGGTTTGGAAGTGGAGGATTTTTTCTCAGGGTTCTGGTAGCAGGACGGCGAGAAGGATGGCACGCTGTCCCCCTCGATGTCGTACAAGGGGCTAACAATGGGCAGGCCCTCGCTGCCGAGGCTGAAGTTTGTTAGCAGGTTAGTGCTTTCGTGCAGCCAGTTCAAATTTGTGAGCTCATCATCTGCTGAATCTCTGTCCACCACGGTGGCCTTTGGCTTGCCGGCGTGGCCGGCATCGGGCAGGCTGCCCATCCCATGGCACTGCCGTAGTCCCGCGGCTTTCTCTGCTCCCGGCGTTTCAGCTTTCTTATCCGGAGTCATCCCAGTGACTGGACCCATTTAGCTTGACTGGTCTGCAACAAAGGAGATGGTCAGAAATCACTGCAAACTACCACAGCCATGCTCAGCAGGAGCCCACCAAACCCAAGCACAGAGCTGCATCATCCCCATGTGTGACCGTGTTCACAGGGGCTCTTGGATGAGGGAAGTGACGAGCATCTGACTCTATGTTTCAGAAGGCTTGATTTACTATTTTATGATATATATTACATTAAAACTATACTAAAAGAATAGAAGGTTCCATCACAAGGTTAGCTAAGCTAAGAATAGAATCTGAAAGAATGATAACAAAGCTTCTGTCTCGGACAGAGAGTCCAAGCCAGCTGGGCTGTGATTGGCCATTAATTACAAACAAACCAATATGGGCCAATCACAGATGCACCTGTTGCATTCCACAGCAGCAGATAATCAATGTTTACATTTTGTTCCTGAGGCCTCCCAGCTTCTCAGGAAGAAAAATCCTAAGGAAAGGATTTTTCATGAAAAGATGTCTGCGACACTCATGCACGAACACTGAACCCACTGGTGAGGGCCAGGGTCCAACAGGAGCCTCCCAGTAAACTCATGAGCATAAATTCCCCTTGGTTTATAACAGAACTTACAGGTAGCACTTGGAAACTGCTGTATCTATCTAGAAACACCAATTCAGACATAGAAATAATAGCTATTTTCATGGCAACACCTGAAACCTCAAAAAAACCTTTAACACGTAGTATCTAATCCATTCAGATCTCACACTAACTCTTAAAGTTACTCATTATATTGTAAGCTGACCCTGTTTAGAAGTATTTGCCTTTGGTGTCCAAAGAGTGAAAAAGGAATTGCAAAACTTAAATCAGCATAAAATCTATTTGTGGTCTCGGTGCCAATGAAATCTTTATAACCCCTACAAGTCACAGTCATTCCCAGGTGCTGCTGCCTGTTTCTACCAGGGGAAGACCTGGCCAGCCTATCTGTTCATCACCTGTGTCCCACAGAGCTGCCTGGGCCCACAAGATCTTTTTCCCCTCCTGCCCTAACCTGGGTTTCCCTGCAGAGCAGAGTGTGCTGGGACCAGTTCTCAACAGAAAGGGACAAAACACTGGGGGGGCAGCTCAGACCTGCAGGAGCAATGGCTCACCACTTAGATAAAAAAATCCCAAAAGAACAAAGCACTAAAACCCTAATCATAACATTATTATCTATAAAACACTGCCACTCCATGCAAGGTCTAACAGGCCACCCATGCTTCAGAGGCATTACACCAACAGACACCACCTTGCTTGTAGAGTTTCAAAAGGGGCCTTCTAGCAAACTGTGTTATGGGAACAGCTGCTTTCTTCCTGCTGATGTGAGCACTGTACAGATGTGGGGGGTGTACTTTTACACACACATGTACCATACAGACATAAGACACCCCAACTATGGATCCAGCTCATTGTTGTAAATAGCACAGAGCAAAGCTGAGGTTTGTATTAACTGTAAACAGATCCAATAAAACAAACAAAGAAAAACCCAAACCCCATTCCTTGTCCCTGTAAGCACTATCATTCTGGTTCCATGCTCCAGCTCCCAGTGCCAGAGCTCAAGATGAGGACATTTCCCATATCACATCTCACCAGACAGCTCTACACAGTTACTGCACATTTTCTTACACCAGTTAGCAGTAAACACTTGTCTCCTTGCTCTTCCATCTCCTCCTACCAAGGGCCCACTGCCTGGCTGTGCTACCCCCAGCCCCAGGCAGCTCCAGCCTGGCAGCCTCACCGTGTCCCTGGCAGAACAGTGCCCAGCCCCTTGTTTTGGAGAAGGGGAACAATGGAGGAGTGACAGAAAGGCAACAGGACAATCCATGTTATGCTCCCCAGCCCTGCCAGCCCCTGCCTGGTGCCAGGCAGTCATGAGGTGCAGAATTTTGGCCTCCCCCGGGAAACACACCATGTCTCCCACCAGCAATTTCTGTTCCTCTCTTCATCTGCTCATGCACTCTTGCACCAGCCATTGCAAAGCTGTGTTGACAACAGCACCTGAACTCATGCTTACCAGCAGCAGTGCTGGAAAACATGCATAAATTTTTTACCTTCTGTTTCTTATTTCTATTAAGTGCAGGGATGGGTATGATTAGCTACCAGCTCAGTCAGTATTATAAAAAGAAAAAAAAAATTAAAGCAAAGTGAGCTGCTCAAATAGCTGGTCAAAAATAGCTTTGCTCTCCCTACGATTTACTTCTCCCCCAAGGCACCAGAGCAGATTCATATTGGCAGTCAGAGATGGCTGCCTTTAAACACAGCCATATATACATATGCTCATGTCACTGCTTCAATCCTTTCTTAAATTAAGGAAAAAAAGAAACAAACAAAGAGCTTAGTGATAAAATTCATACAGTGAGACAAACCCCAACTCTGCTGCAACGTGAGCTGCTCTGCTCTCTTTCTAATGATTAACTTTGCCCCCTGGTTGAGCACCTCTTTAGGCAGCTACACAGGAGCTCACACCTCCCAGCCGTGTTTTGGTAATTTTAGCTCCGGGTTCATGTTGCACGAAATCTCCCTTTACAAATCTCCCGTCAGCGCGGCAGATCAGGAGCACACACATGCTGACACACACACACACTGAGGTCACTGTATTCTTTTCTTAGGGGAAAGGGGGCAATGAAGTCTGTTTTCAACACAAAAATGGCCTGGGCACACTCAGAGTGGTCAAAAATATAAGGGAAAAAATCAAAAAAGTGATGAAGCTGGCACTTATAATCAGGCAGACTTTGTGGTTCAATGCACTATTTGTTTGCATGCTACTGTATTACAGAAGACAATCATTAGCATTTCTAATGCCCTACATGAAAATAAAAATTATTTGCAGGTAACATACTTAATAAAAATAATATTAGTAAATATTATAAACTTATAAATATTATTAAAAGTAAATAATATAGATTAGTGTCACGTTTCTTAGATGCATTACAAAAATCCACATCTCATTACCTTCCTTTCCTAGTTCACCACCTCACACACCTTCTACATGAACACATCAGAAATTATTTTATTTTTTCTAGAAATTATTATTATTAGACTATTATCAACTAATAAATAAGAAAAAATATAATCACAGGAGCAACACCCATGCCACTGGAGCATATGTGAAGGCACATAAGTGGTCAGCTTGTGAGCTCTCCAGAACCCTTCTTCATTCACACAGACCCTTAAGGACATCCAAAATCCACAATTTTTTCCTCCATGTGTGTTCTGACTGCCTATAAACAGGCACAACTGTGAGAACACAGCTTCCAAGATGCCATTTTCAAGATTACCACTTCCAATATTTGGGGTTTAATGGTTTACATAAGGGTCACGGAATCCACCAAAGCCATCTCTGCTGTAAGCTGGCAGGGTTTTGTGCTCAGGGATGACCCAGCAGAAAAACCACAGTGAGAGCAAGGAGAGCAAAGACAGCAAAGTGTGAGAAGGAAAGAGCACAGCAGCAGCTCTCCAGTGCAGATGTTTGGATAATTCCCATGGGGACAGCCCCAGCCCGGTAAGCAGAGCCAAGAAGGCAACCTCCAGCCAGGCAAATGCAGAATCAATATGATTTAAGCACGCCTCTGAAAAACATGGAAGAGTTTGTGCTCTGCCCATGTGCTTTACCCTACCCAAGAGTACAGAGTGACACAGCACATTGCTCTTCACTGGTATTAACACTTCCAGCTGGAAGCAGAACCTCATGCATCCCAATCCTAAGGAACCCAAGGATGCATCTCCTTGAGTTCCTTGGGAGTTCCATCCATGTTGGTACCTTCAAAAGAAAGGCCAAACAAAGCATTTACTCCTCAAATGCTCCTCACAATGGAGGTGCACATCATCTTGCATTGGTAATTACAGACAGAGGACTATGATTCCAGGGCAAGAAGATTAAAAGGCTGCCAAGTCAACTGAGGCTGCTCAAATAAAAGTTAGGATGCATCAGAAAAGAGGTGAGAGACACAACCTTCTTCCAGCAGTGTGATTTTTGGCATCACATAAAAGCCAGGAGCAGACCTCCCTGCTAATCCACGCCAGTGCAGCACCCAGAGCCCAGTGAAGACCTGCTCTTCCAGAGCACTCACAACCCAAGCAGCAGAGCCCAGGTCTGAAGGGGCTGATTAAGGCTGCAGGTGCACCAAGGCAGCAGCCCAGAGAAGCACAAACAGATCAGAGGGAGCTCCATTTTTGGTAATATTTTTTGCAGCCCTCTCCCAAACTCACTGGAGAGCTAAGTTTGGGACAGGTGATGAGCACTGAAAGCTCCTCAGCCTAGCAGAGCACACCTGGGTTAAACCAGGTTTGTGTGCTCCCACAAAGACCCCAGCTATGACTGAATTTTGATGGAAGAGCTTCAGCACTGCTGTGTTCTGCCACAGGAGCAAATGCTTTGATGTGTGAGCATTCAATGAAGACAAAGCTGCTTTAATAAAGGCCAACCACTTAACAAAACTGGTAGTCCACTTGAGCAGATCCTCAGGAAAGCAGGGAAGCATGTTCACTTTGCAGCAGCCCTTCTTGGGAGAAGTCTCAGCTCCAGCAGAATCCAGGCCAAAGCTGTGGCAGATGCCACCATCCCACCAAAGGTGACACCCTCCAAACTCAGCAGCATTGCAGGTATAAGTGTGCAGTATAATTTCAATGGTCACCATGCTTGGACTCACTGAACTGGCAAGAAAGAATTCAGCCTTTTTGTCAGAAGGTGCCACAGCCTTGTCCACACCAAGTTAGCATGAAAACAGAGCTGCTCTTGCTGCTTGATCCTTCTTTACAGTGGCATCAGATGAAAGGTGCCCTTTTGGCACCTGCACAGCATCAGTGCCCCAGGTTAGGACAACCTTCTCCACAACTAAATGCACCTTTTTGTTTCTGCAGGACCAGCCAAGCAACTAGGTCACCCCTGCTAATAGTGGGAAGACCTGGAGCCTGCCAATAGCGCAGAGATTTCCCTCCAGGTTTAAAAATAAAAATAAAATCTTACCATGCATTGCCCAAGTCTGAGGAGTGGAACATAATTTTAA